CGTGCGGCCCCTGGATCCCCTGGCGTACCCCGACGGCGACCGCGTGCAGGTGGCGGTGTGCGGGCCGGGGCGCGCGGCGCGCGGCCTGGACAGCCTGCAGGTCCAGTACGACGCTGCTCGGCAGGAGATGGCCATTCTGTCAGACGACATCGACCCCCAGGCGTCGGTGGAGGTGAACGCACCCGTCAAGTTTGGCAAGTGACGTGAAAACGGGACTGGGTCGCAGCACTGCTGGCTAGGTTCTCTCCACGCTACTTTCTAACCTCATCGGCCCACTCAGGAGCCCTCTTTCCTAAAGCGACACTCTTGGATTCCCGAGTAGTATTTAAGAGTCAGGGTCCCAGTTAAGGAGAAAAAATTAAAACCGAATGGAAGCATGGACTGGAATAACCTGTGTCTTATTACATTCTGCTCCATTGCTTCTCGACTTCTAACTAGCCTAGATGGAAAAGAGGCTGTGCCCTGCAAATGTAATAATCCGAAGGTGCTGGTGAGGCTTTACCAGGATACAGGTTAAGGTGGTGTATTGGTTGAAATATTAAGGCAACTCCACGTAGTTAAAAGTTTATTTTGTGGGGTAACTTACAAGTGAAGAGATAGGCTACAGGGTCTGGGAAAGATGTGGCGCACTCCGACTGTGTTCTCTGGAGAACTCTGCTCAGTCTACCTCCAGGGTCCAGGGTCCAGGAAGCAAGAGAGCCCGCCTGGGGTCTTCAGTGTCCTCTCTCGGCTCCGCCTACACTTGTAGGTGTGACCATTACCGAAGCCGAAGGGGATGGCATTGCCAGGTCAAAGCTAGACTGGCTACCCACTACAGAGGTGTCTTAGGGTTTCTGTTGCTGTGAAGAGACACCATGACGACAACTCTTACAAAGGTAAACATTTAATTGGGTGGCTTACTGTTCGGAGGTTCAGTCATTATCATCATGGTGGGACTTGGCGTGCAGGCAGACACAGTGCTGGAGAGGTCGCAGTTTTACATCTTGTGCAGGCGACAAGAAGTGGTCTGTCTCACTAGGTGTAACTTGAGCATAGGAGACCTGAAAGCCCACCTTCCTCAGTGACGCACTTCCTCCAACAAGGCCACACCTCCTACCAGGGCCACTCCATTTGGGGGACATTTTCCTTCACACCACCATAGGTGGGTATCAGTGGAGGGCTAAACAAAACTTAAAACAGCATCTATGAAAATCGGTGCTACATCTGCTGGCGATCCGAAAAATCTCGTTACTTCTAACCAGAAACCTGTTTCCGATGTACTGTCTCCATGCCTCTGTTCCACAGGCCTCTCAAATCTATATAGTTAGTTTTATTATTTGTTCCTCCAACTTGTGAAAGAGTGACTCAGAGGAGTAGCATTACTATTGCTGTCTTAGTCCCTCTGACTTCCCGCAGCAGAATGTGTTTAGCATCCCAGTCCTCATCTGTATAGTTGTCAGGCCTGCCTGAGCTCTTGCTATGTGACTAGATTCAGTTGGGAAGTAAGCTGTGCAGCTCTGTTTGTATCAGTATTCGGCTTTTTATGTGTCCTCACTTCCTCTCAATGTATTGTTGCTAATTTAAACCATTGCCATGCAACTGAGGACATCTGTCCTGTAACTATTGAAATTGTGGCATTGGGTCCCAATAACTTGCTTTAGGGAAACATAGTTGTGCCGGCTATTTATTTATTTTTTATCAGCTTGACACAAGCTAGAGCCACCTGGAAGAGGGAGCCTCAGTTGGAAAAAAAAAAAAGGCTTAATCAGGCCTGGAGGCAAGTCTGTGAAGCATTAATTAATTAATGATTGAACCCACTGTGATTGTCCTGAGTTGTATAAAAAAAAAACAAGTATGCTGGAGAGTCATGGAGAACAAGGCAGTGTTCCTCTGTGATCTCTGTTCCAGTTCCTGTCCTGAGTTCCTTCTTGATGGTCTGTAAGCTATAAGGTAAACCCTTTCCTTTCCCACATGGTTTGGTCAGTGTTTTTCACAGCAACAGTGACTAAGACAGTAGTATTTGTCTCTATACCTGGAAATCACTAATATTAGTGTGAACTGCATAGTCATTATCACTGTTTACAATTGTGTTGTTTTGTTGTTTGTCTTTGAGACAGAATCTCTCTCAGAGCCCTGGCTGTCCTGGAACTCACTATGTGGACCAGGCTGGCTTTGTACAGCTGAGCATGCCACCTGTGATTCCCTATTTTTCATACTTTCTTCAAAAACATTCTTATTTATCCACAGTATTGTAGCTTTGATTCTTATCACTAGGTTTTTAAAGGTGATTCTGGTTATTAAAAATTATTTCGAGTACCCTGTGCTACAGCTATATGGCAATATTCCCATTTGCGGGTTGTGAAAGGCTAGAGTAGAATTTGAAAGCCTAGGTCATAATCACATACACTGATCCATGCTATTTTAATATGCTGTTAATTAGGTGATCAGTGTTTCAAATCTTCTGGAGTGTAAGTCAAGGCTAAACAGCTTCTTTGACATTTGATGACTTGTTAATTCACTGTCATATCCTTACTCATTTGTGTGCGTTCTTTTCATAGGATAGGAGCTAAGCTATTCTACATGAGACATGAGTACCTACCTATAAGAATGGCCGACTCAGCTCCTTTATTCCCATCTGTGGCCTTTCCTCTCTTTAGATGATACAAGCCAGGAGATATAATCTCTAATAACTGTTAGAAAGGCTCTGCATTTGATCCTGCTGCTTTGGTAAAGACCTCTTGCTTTCAGGGAGAAAACTTGCTGCTCTCTGACCCAGCACTGCAGTGAGTCCCTGAAGACCTAGGGGATGTTAAAATGCTCTGAGGCTAGGCACTGACTTTTTCCTTCTTTCTGCTTTTGCTTCTAGATTTGAATATTGAGTCATCAGGGTCTGGCTCTGTAAAGGTGCAGAATATTGAATGTGATAGCTGTAAAATTGACACTGCACAGGGGACCAGCGTCTTGCAGTCTGTGAAGGTATGAGCATTTCTCTCTCTTTGTTCCAGTGTCAAAATTACCTTAAACTGTAAATCACAGAATCAAACTACAAGGCTTAATTTGATATTCAGATTATTATCATTCATCATTTAGAAAGTCTTCAAAAAAGTTTGCCTTAAAAGCACAAATATTACAGCAACTTTGAAGGTTTTGCTTTCTCTCTCTCTCTCTCTCTCTCTCTCTCTCTCTCTCTCTCTCTTTCTTTCATTCTCTCTTTCTTTCTTATTATTATTTTTAGTTCTCATTTCAAAGTGTAGTTAAACTCCAAAGTATATTTTTAGGATTTTGAGATACTACTATTACTAAAAAAAAATTAATTTTCACACCATTTTTGTCTACTTACTAAAGAATAAATAAAGTCTTTATGGACTATAACTGTGCTTTAAAATGTATGACTGTTTCACTCATTTTTAATATTCCAGAAGCTCTTTATAGAGTACTAGGCAGCCAGTTTTGCAGAGCAGATGATTCAGCTTATTTATAATTAACAATTTTACATTCCATTTTTCTTAAAATGAGATTGGTCTTAGCCATATATGTTTTATATTATACCTCTGTTAGGGAGTTTGCTGTTATTTCTGTAGCAGGCTTTCTTTTTTGGGCCACCAACCAGCTTCCAAATCGTGACATGGAGACTTATGAGTTATGGATGCTTGGTCTTAGCTTAGGCTCGTTTCTTGCTAGCTCTTATAACTTAACCTGTTTCTCTTCATCTACGTTTTGCCTCAGGGCTTTTTACCTTTCTTTCCTTCTGTCTGTCTTACTTTCACTGCTTCTCCTGTCTGTCTGGAGGCTGCTGGCTTCTTGCCCGCCCGGCGTGTGTCCCTCTCTGTCTCCCTGTTCTCTTTTGAGCACCCCAATCTTCTCCTGCCTAGCTATGGGCCATTTAGCTTTCAGTCAGGTGCCTTAGGCAGGCAAGGTGCAACAAATGCGACGCATCTTTACATAATTGAACAAATGCAGCACAAACAAATGTGACATACCTTTGCCTAGTTAGAGTAATATTCCACAGCATAAACAAAAGTAACACATCTTTGCCCAGTTACGATAATATTCCATAGCAATTTCTAATTGTTCTAGCATTTGCAGGGTCAAGACCCAATCCTTTGACACGTTTCATTGAACTAGGACATCTGTGTTGCAGTTGCAATGCTTTCTCTTTGAAAACATTAATTAGAATGATGTATGCATCTGTCTTTACCTCATTCATTGGTTTGTCCATCTTTATCTGGGTACCTGTGTTGTGGAATATTATTTTAAGATGTGTTACATTTGTTTATGCTGTGGAACATTTGTTTAATCATGCAAAGATGTGCTGCGTTCTTTTATGTTGCATTTATTTAACTCTGTGAAGCTTGTTACTCTGTCTGTCCAAAACACCAAATTGGTTTAATAAAGAGCTGAATGGCCAATAGCGAGGCAGGAAAGAGAAATAGGTGGGACTGGTAGGCAGAGAGAATAAATAGAAAGAGAAGAACATTAGAAAGGAAGAGAAGGAGCAAGAAAAGGAGGAGAGGAAGACTCCAGGAACCAGCCGCCCAGCTACACCGCAAGCCATGGAGTAAGAAGTAAAGAAAAGTATACAGCAGTGAGAAAGATAAAACCCCAGAGGCAAAAGGTAGATGGGTTAATTTAAGAAAAGCTGGCTAGAAACAAGCCAAGCTAAGTCCAGGCATTTCATAAGTAAGAAGCCTCTGTGTTATTTATTTGGGAGCTGGGTGGTAGGCCCCCAAAGAGCTAAGAATTAAAAAAGAACCAACTACACACCTCCTTTTCACACTTGTCTACATATGAGACAGTTTAAAAGAATTTAGTTGTACAGATGTCATAAAAGACAGTATACAAAAACATTAAATAGACTAGATACTGTAACTGTAATTCTTGCTTGATAACTGTTTTGTTATATATAGTTTTACTATGTTAAAGTTAAAACTTTGATTTTTAAACAAACAGAAAAGGGGAAATGCTGTGGGATAATGCTTTTGTACTCTGGTTTAATAAAACACTGATTGGCCAGTAGCCAGGCAGAAAGTATAGGTGGGATAAGCAGACAAGGAGAAAGCTGGGAAGAGGAAGGCTGAGTCAGGAGATGCCAGCATGTAATGGCACACAGGTAAAGCCATGGGACACATGGGGACATATCGATTAACAGAAATGGGCTGAGTTTAAGTGTAAGAGCTAGTCAGTGGTAGATCTGAGCTAATGGCCGAGCAGTTTTAATGAATATAAGCCTCTGTGTGTTTATTTGGGGGACGCGAGTGGGGAAGATTTGTCCCAACCGTGGACCAGGCGGCATACAGCAAAACTTCAGCTACACCTCAGAGAGGATGAAGAGCAAGTAGCTCACCTCCTCTCCTTCTCTCCTTCCGTGTGTTTCCAAAAAGCCCTCCTGCTTCTCCTCACCCCTCCTTATAAACCCTTCTCCACCTGGCTCCTCCCTCCACTTCCTGTCAGCTAGTTGCTGACTCAGCCTCCTGACTGCAGGTGAATTTTATTTAATCAAACACATCTTTCCACCATTAAACAGATGTTCCAGAGCATAAACAAAAGTAACACACCTTAAAATAATATTCTACAACATTATTCCTTTTTAACTTTAAATTTTCAAGAATTTTATGGACTAATACAGAAATTTCAAGATAGATTTAATCCTGTTTTTAAGTACATTTTGTATTTGTTCCATGGAAGACTTGTTAAGAAAGAAAAAAGCTATGAACTAGCAGTCTTTACAAATAAAATAGATAAAAAAGAACTAGAACTAAAGCTGATACTAGTGGTGCTGGTTAGTTTGTGGCAACTTGACACAAACTAGAGCCACCTGTGAAGAGGGAGACTTAATTGAGGAGCTGAGTATCAGACTGGCCTGTAGGCAAGGCTGTGGGGGTATTTGCTTGACTAATGGTTGATGTGGGAGGGCCCAGCCCACTGTGGGCAGTGCCACCCCTGGGCAAGTGGTCCTGTGCTATATAAGAAAGTACACTGAGCAAGCCAACAAGCAGCACTGCTCCATGGTCTCTGCTTAAATTCTGGCATCCAGGTTCTTGCCTCAGCTTCCCTGGATGATGGACTGTAAATCTGTAATTCAAGTAAACTCTTTCTTCCCCAACATTGGTTTTGGTCAGTACTTTTTCATAGCAACAGAGAAACAAGGACACTAGTCTTGTACTAAAAGAATTATTCTTGCAATGTTAGCCTTAACTAACTCACATTCATAAATGCAGGCACTTTGGTAAAATATCTGGCTTAGGTTTTTAAAAATATGGTACAATATGATCTTGAATTAGTGGTCATCTGTTAATATGTCTACCTTTCACTTATTTCACACCACACGTAGAGTTCTGTATATATAAATAGCATTTTAGTAACTAATTAATGCTGATGAATTGTTAGTGTGTACTGAGAATCTCAGCTAAGCCTTGTTAATCTTTGGAACATCTTCATTTATCAAGAATGGAACTCGGAGGCACCAAAAGACTGAGGAACTTACTCACTCCAGCTCACAAAGCTAAAGTAGTTGAGTTTGTTGTTTCCAAGCTCAAATTCTTCCCAGCTCTCTTTATTAGCTAAGGAAGACATATGGTAATGTTGCATTTATTCAGCATCCGAAGTAATAAAGTAAGTGAATGTCACACATCTGCATTTTAAAAAAATGTAGCACAATCATTTCCCTCAATAATTTCTGACTCATTTTCACTTTTTAAACATTTCAACGTTGTATGGGAGTCAGGTGAGCTTCGGATTACAATAGCTCAGTGTCTTTAAACCTTAGCCCTCTTCAAAAAAAAAATCTCATGATTGTTTCTCTCTAAAGAAAAAATGAATATGTATATGAAAGTTTACTTACAACTTCATAAATTTCAGAGACACTCCAGAAATTCACTTAATTTCAGTTAAGAGCTTTGGATATGAAAACAGTTACTTTGGAAATAGATCTTTCTAAAACTTAATTAATACTTAGATTTTAGGTTCACATCTGTGACTATGAGGAAGTTAATCACAGTGTAAGACAAATCCTTGTGAGAACAATTGTTTTGCTCTTCTCTAAACTTTCCTGAAAACTGATTCCTGGGTTATTTTATGGACATGCACAGAAGAAAATGTTTCCTTAGTGTCATGTGAGTTTACTCTCTCTACCTTCTGTGGTCTTTTTGTTTTTCAGAGCCAAGAATTACATGTTCAAACAAAAGGAGGCAATGTGATCTGTCTGGGAACAATTTGCGGAAATATAGATATTCATGCATCACATCACAGTGTAAGATTAAAACCCTCGAAGTAGCTTCAGCTTTGCTGTTGATTTCTTGAAAACAGTAGCTTCTATAGAATTTGTTGTGTTTTCTTTTTAGTGATTTAGTTCCTTAATAAGCTCATGTTTGGAACCGAAGTGGTTAAATGCTTGTAATATAAATTTTAGTGTGTGATTTAGTACTTTTGATAGTTATTTAGTTTGTTACAACCAGTAAACACTTCATATTTAATTCTGACTTGTCTAAAGAGACTTTTATTTTGATAGTCATGAATTAAAATACCAAATTAAGTACTACCACCAGTGTGGGAATTTGGTTTTTCATGGGTGCTGGATTTAACTTGAATACAGTGTTCTCGTAGGCCTGCTGCTTTTGACTAATTGAAGGGTAAATTCTGAAATGCTCATGGGTCTTGAAAGAGGACGTGATGTTGGGAGAGGGAATAAGGCAAAGGGGCTCTGGGATGAACCAGATGGGGAATGAGCAGTTGATAAGCTCAAATCCATTGTAGACTCAGAGGATTAATGTTAAAACTGAAAACCATCTGAAAGTTGGCTTCTTTAGTGTTTCCACAAGGTGGCACTGTGAGACGGAGCTACTGTTCTCCAAATCCTCCACCCCCATGTTGCCTCAGATTTGTGTTACAGAAAGACGGTTTGCATTTTAAATCAGCTATTTACTGCTTCCAATTGTTTATTGTGCTGTTAATAGTAATTGTGATGCATAGTGTTTTAAATCTTACAAGAAAAATCTAAATTTGACGGTGAAGGTTATAAGCATATCCTGTAGCATATTGCTGTCATAACTTTTATAATTATATTACATTTTATTTATTTGTGTGTGTGTACACAATGCATGTGTGTGTGTCAAGATGCACATGTGGAGGAGGTCAGAGGAACACTTGTAGGAGTCGGTTCTCTCCTTCTGCCATGTGGGTCTTGGTGATCACACTGAGGTTGTTGGGCTTTAGCAACAGAGACTTCCACTGCCCGTTGCTGGTAAAATTAAGAAAGGTGGAGTGTAGCTTTGTTTCTACTGTTGTTAATTTCCTATCACTTTTTTCTTAGAATCTGTGGGAAGCTGTTTAAAACAAATATTTAAATATATAATAAACATTTCAAATTAAACTAGGAAAGTTTTTTGAGAGCCTGTAGACTTCAGCCACTGCCCTTGGAGATGATCTTTAGTTTTTTTCAGTCAGATTACTATCTACTTAGAGGTACAAACAGGTAAATCGAACAACTTTTCAGTTCCTTCACATTCAACCTTGCATTAATGGATAATGTTACAATAGGATTACAAGTTCTTGGGGGTATGGTGCATGTAGGCTTGGAGGTCAGTGGTCAACACAGGGTGTCTTTCTCAATTGCTTGTCACCTTGTTTTTTGAGCCAGTGCTTCTCACTGAACTTGGAGCTCGTGGATGTTGGCTAGGCTGGCCAGTCAGTAAGCTCCAGGGATCTGCCTGTCTTCACTTTCCCAGAACTGGAGTTATAAACTTGTGGCACTAGGTCTTCACATGGGTGCTGGGGATCCCAGCTCCGGGCCCATGCTTGACTGGCAAGCATTGTACTAATGAACTATATCCCCAGCCCCAGGATCATATGCTTTCAATCAGATATGAGTATCAGAAATTTAAATCATGCTATTTTGAATAATTTGACCACATTAGTTTTTAATTTGTTCCAAATGACACATGGGTAATCAATCAAACATTTCTTTACTCCTACTTCCTGTTAAACTTTTCTTTCCTGAGTTTTGTGATGTGCTAAAGACTCAGTATAGAATTTTTTCTAATTTTCCTGCATAGTATTAACTTTTAAAACATTTGAAAGTTTATTTAAAAACATAAATATGTACTTACTGGGTAAGAGCACATGTTGAGAATTAAATTTCCTGGCTCAGCCACTTACTAATTTTTGTGACTTCAGACAAGTTACATAACATTTGTGTGTCTCAATTTTCTGAAAAAACGGGGTTATTAGTAATGGACCTATCTCAGAACGTTCACAGGAAGATTCAGGCATCAGTACAAGTAAAGTGCTTAAAATGGGCTCCCGCGTGAGGCTGACTCCGACACAGGACTTGCTCACAGCGAGGGTGAAGGAAAAAGAACCGCAGAAGAGATCACGGCACCTTACTTCCCTGAGCCTGCGTCTCCTTGTTCACTTAACAAGATAATGGAAGTAAAAAGACATCATGAACAGTAGCAATGTCAGCTGTGGCTGTTCTAAATGATACTGTGAATTTCAGAATCAGCCTCTATAACTTCACAAGAACATCAACATCCCAGGATGACTGATGACACAGTTGTCACTTTCCTTTCTGTCTGGACTACAGAGTCACAGTACTTCCTGAAGACTTGATTTTTGTTACTTGTAAACATTGTATTATAATAAAGTAGCCAAGTGTAGGGAAAAATCCCTCCTTATATTAAAAATAATTTCAGCTATACCTCTCTCAGGAAGGTATTTATCTGCTGATCTACCTTTTGTCCTCTCTTTAAATAATTTCTGTTAAAAATCAGAGTATACAGTTTAATCTAGAGAGTCTACATGTGACACTTTTATCTAGTAATATTACTGACTAAAAATAAGATTTTGTCAATATTTTGTCAACTGAGCTAACCCAAATTTAATTTTTTGAGTTATTATCTGACATTGTTCAGGTGATATCGTTTAGGTTATGTAACCCTTGGAGAATTTAGAATTTCTGAGAACTTTCATGAATGATTGGCAGTTATACTGTGTTGGTGATGTACGCTGGGATTTTACTTGCTTTCATTTGCTTTGGTAGTGCAGGGTGTTTTCTGGCTTCTTAGGGATGTATTTAGTTTTTAACGAGCAGTACAGATCCTTGGCCTTTTCCAGATACTCATAAAGAGCGCAGAAACCCAGCTTTATTTCACATGGTGATGGGCAGTATCTCGGTAGAAGTGCTCCTTAGCTAGTTCAGGATGTTTCAAATGTTCCATTAAATGTCCCTCTTTTGGTGTGAAACAGCCCCATTCCTTGTTGAAAGGCTGGAATATTCCATTTTGTTGCCTGTTTTATGGAAATTCTTGGAGAGTGTGAAACCATGAACACTAAGCAAGTTTTCATGAGTAGAGTTTGTAGGTAAAGACTTTTTTGTCAGGAGTTTTATGCCTTTATTGTTAGCCTGTGGAAGATAAAACATTTATGTTCTGGTAAATCCCTTTATAAGTAAAGTACTTGCATTTTTATATTTTTGTTTGTTTGTTTTTTGATTTGTTGAAACTAGATTTAAAGTAAAAGTTTCTGTTAGTCTATAATCAACTGAAGATAAACAAGTAGTTAAAAATCAGTGTTATCATATACTTTCTAAAAAGTACAGGAAGTTATGTACTTTAAATCCAGAGGGGAAGTAGTTTTACCTCTGCCCCACAAGACCACTGAGTACTTTTTTGTACTGTTGTCTATAGTAGTTTGTTCTTGAAACTCAGTCTTTTTTGGTGACATTTGTTAACGTTCGTAACAGTTTTTGGAAAACTTGTGAGGAGGGTGATGCTGATAACAGTGTACTACTTGAAATTGGGGGCAGAATTGTGGCAAGCCATCCTAGTAATTGAGTGTGTAGTGCCAACATTTTCATATTAACACATCTTCGTTCATAACATGTTAGAGATGGTGTAAATTCTTAACTGTCTTTGTTTTACAGGGTGAACAATATTTGAAACACAAATACATACTGAATTTTGTTAGGGAAATTTAAGGATGAGTAAGAATTCCTTTCATTTTGTTCACTGGAAAGCTACCTTATTAACTGTAAAGTGGAAAAGTTTTAGAAGGTTATAGTTACTACATCAACATATGAGAAAAATCATGTAGCTCAGCAGCATCAAAGCATGTGAAACTCAAAACGCATTAATGAATTCAATATAGAAATGACAAAACATTGATTATTTAATCAGATAAAAGATACATACAAAACATCTTCTGTAACAAGCATCATACTCCCTGCTGAGATGCAGTATACTTCCTCTCTGAGAAAAACAGGAAGATAAGGTCGGCTGCTCTTCATCTAGTTGCCACTATTCATTGTTGAATTGGAAAATGGATCCAGATATTAGAAAAAGAATGAAAAAGCACAGAGAATGTGATTAGTATAAGACTATATAATAGAAGGGAAGAAATAGAGTGATCATTTGGAGATAATATAATTATACATGTGGAATTTTTTCTAATGCAAATAAATTATTGAAATTAGTGAGTTTATTGTGGTTGCTAGATTAAGTTCAAATATAAAAGTCAAGATAACATGAACTTTTAAGAGATACATTGTGTAATAGCACTTTAAAAATAACTAGTAGGAATAAACTAATAAGATAAATTCTACAAAGAAAACATAAAATGTTAAGAGAAACTAAAGAAGGCATAAATAAATGGAGGAATCTGGTGTTGGCTCTCTTTCACATTCTGCAGAGAATGCATGTTGCCCACAGTCTTGGCAGCTAGAGCTAGGGAGTCAGTTGTCAAGCTGATTGTGTATGTCTCATGGAGTTGGTCATCATTCTATCATTCTAGATAAGCAGTTCTCAACCTTCCTAATGCTACAACCCTTCTATACAGATCCTCATGTTGTGGTGACCCCCAATCATAAAATTATTTCATTGCTACTTCATAACTGTGATTTTGCTACTGTTATAAATCATAATGTAAATATCTGATATGCAGGTTATCTGATAGGCGACCCCCTGGGGGTCGTAACTCACAGATCAAGAACCACTATTTTAGATGGACTGTTTTGGTTGTTTACAGTTGATTTTATAATGAACTGATTACAGTCTCTCTTTTACTAGACTGTGACCGTAGATAAACTTCAGGGAAGTTGTGTAAATATATCTACAGAAGATGGTTTGCTGAAAGTCAAGTATCTTTATACAGATTCTTCATTGTTGTCTTCTGCTGCTGGGGATATTGCATTAGGAAATGTTCATGGTAAGCTGACAAAGACCTAGTGTATCTCAGACATTTCCACATAACATAAATTAAAGAGATGACTGTCACAGGAAGGGTCAGGGAAGTGGCCTTCTAGATAACTTAACTACAAACTAGCTATCTTTTTAAAATCTGTGAAAATAAACTTACTCACAAGCTAACTTAATTTTATTTTGACAAGAATTTGAAAATTATGCTGTTATATCTGAAGCTAATATAGTTCTGATTTTTTAAAAAGATTTTTATTATTTTACAATGTGTGTGTGTGTATGCATGTGTGTGCAGCATGTGCATGCCATCTTTCCAGCCCCAGTAGTTGTGGTATTTAAATATATTTTTATAAGAAGAAACAATATCCAAGAGATGAAATAAAAGCAGTATTAATAAAGATGGGATTCTTAGTGGTAACCTTTCATGATAGGAGAGGTAACAGTTAAGTGAATTAAACGTTTGAGTAGATCAAATTATAGAAATTCTATGACACTAATTTTGGGTACAATGCATTAATGTATATTTGTACTGGCAGAGGTCCTCTTAGCAGTGTGCTATTTCAGTTATCTTTAAGTGTCCTAAACGTATGTCTACAGAGAGCAGCATTACTTAGTTAATGTTTGTATTATGGAAAGAAAAAGAGAGAACATAAAGGTGAGATAGTATGACCAAAGGCCTGTTGGTGGTCAGTGTCATTCTGCCTCTTACATTTCCACCAAGCAGATGATTCAAATCCAGGTGTATTCTCTGAAATACACGTGAGTAGTATTAAGACCTACTTAGTCCTTGAAAGAAGTGCATTCAGTATGTGCACATCTGCTAAATGTCTGTTGGGCCTCTTCCAGGAAGTGTGGGCTTGAACATTTTCCCATAGATGGTCCACTCATTTCATGTCTTAGTAAGGCTGAATATTGGTGTCTATACATTTTGCAGCACTCCCACATTTTAGTAGTGAGCACAAATTAAGTTGTATTAGAATTGGCTAGTGCTAGTCATGCTAGCCATGCTAGCAAGTAACAAATCGGCAGGTGGTCTTCTGTTAGAGAAAAAGTGCTTAGGTAATTAGAATAACCTTTGTACCTTAGTTTATTGACTAAGCTCATCAATCCCTACACTGATTACATTACTAAAATAGAGCAGAGCTATATCCAAATAAAACAAATGGTTTTCTTACCGTTTTTGTTGTTGTTCAGTGTGCATTTAGTTCTAGGTAGTAGTAATGCAGTAGTGAAATAGTAATAACTTATAATTTCATATTTTAAATTGCTTCTAGTAAGGATTGCATTTCTATGATCATAATTAAGGCATTATACCTAATGCACCAAGTAGGTTTCAATGTAAAACAGTCCTTACCAAGTCATATAAAGATTGACAAACACTACAGGAAAAACAGTGTGACTGAAATAAATATTGATAGGGACAAGAGTCCAGCCCTTTGTAAAGCCTTTGAATGTTATTGACTTTAATATGAAACCAAGTACGCTTCCTCACGTGGCTTAAGTATAGGTCTCTTCTGCACTGCTGTCTCTAGTAGGTTCTCCCTGAGTAGAACACTGAGAATGCAATGTGTTTACTGCAGAGACCTCTTGGGGCCCGTGCCTTGCCAAGGAAAGGAGAAGCCAGGCTGTGGTAGACCTTCTGCAGCCCCAAGTACAGCTCTGAAGCTGGCTTGGCTCTTCACCCTTGCCTCAAGTTATAGTGATGGAAGCTGGAGCTTTATTTCCTGGGCCATGACATCCCAGCTGCTCCAGGAAGGAGTGTGATCTTGGGCCAAGATGGCTGGCTTCAGTTGAGGCAGTTTCCAAAGAAGGCTGTCCATGGAGGGCTGTCTGCCAGCAATCCTCTCAGCATCTAAGAAAATAAGCCCTTTAGGTATGACAGGGGCTCTGCATGAGGAATCATAGCCTCTGCTACACTTAAATTTATTCATTCAGCACAGTTATTGACTGACTACGGTGTGCCAGATTTCAGGGTGCCAAGAGTGCAGAGCTGGGCAAGAAATGATACCCACCTTTAAAGAACACAGTTGAATGAAAGGACTTCTGTCTCACTTCCTCAGTCTTCCTCCCACCCATCTCCAGTTGTCCCTTGTCACTCAGTGTCAAAGCAGCTTTCTCACAACTCCTTTTGCACTCTGTGCATCAGTCAGCAGGAGTAGGGAGGGGAAATTTGATTCAGTTGTTTCACCCTCTGTTCTTTGGTCCTCGGTTTGCTTTGGTTGTTTCAGTGCAGACAAGAGAGAAGTTAGAAAGGACCCCTTACCCATCCCTTATGCTCAGTGCTTTGACTATTTTAAATCACTTAGGTAAGCCAAAGTTTTTTGCACCTCTTCTCTGTTGCCTATCCTCCAGCCTTGTTCCAAGAGCTTGTGGGAATGTGCTGTTGAAGCTTGGAGTGTGAAGGTAGGATGGAGATAGAAAAGCAGGGAAGGTTCCACACCCTAGGAAGATCCTGAACATATATTTCAGTGAACCCTTTGTTTTAACCCTGTCAGCAGGTAGTTGTGTAACACAAACTATGTGTGTGTGTTTGTGTATATGTATATGTGTATACGTATATAGATGTATATACACATACACACGCACATATATATATGTGCTATATTTAAACAAGCTAGCTTAGGATCCTATAACTTCTTTTTTTCTTTTTTTAAGTTTTTTTTTTATTTTTATTTTATGTGCATTGGTGTTTTGCCATGGGTGTTGGGTCACCTGGAACTGGGGCTACAGACAGTTGTGAGCTGCCATGTAGGTGCTGGGAGTTGAACCCGGGTCCTCTGGGAGAGCAGTCAGTGCTCTTAACCACTGAGCCATCGCTCTAGCCCCCATAATTTGTTTTTATGAGAAAATATGTTGCTATTTCTGAGCATCTTTTAAATATAAATAATAAACTTTTAAAATATATTCCAAGACCGGCCTGTTGGGGATTTATTTAGTGTGTCTACTTTTTTCTTATGGTTTAAACTGATTTCTCCTTCCAGTTAGAGCTGAAAAAAATCCAACATATAGTTGTTCTAAAAAGCCTTTCTATACAACTCTGAGTGAAAACTGCCTTTTTGGTGAGTTGAATTAAGTATGTGTCTATTACCTCTTCCCATATGCCTCTAGACAGAGTGTTTAGAGATGTGGTCTAATTGCAGAGGTAGTGTAGATAGTCCAGCATGTTCTATGGAGGGAGGAGAGAAGCACACAGAAATCTATGGACACTGGCAGTCCGTCATGTCTTTAGTTGTTATTCTCCAGGATTGTGTATATCTCTGTTCCACTGGTCATTTGTGTACTCTGAGTCTTAACTACTGCTTGCTGTATCTGATGATGCAGTGACTCCAGTCATGACCTCCAGTGTGCACATCTCACTACCTGGTACACATAGCCATTGAACTTTCACAGGCATCTCAAATTTGACATTTCTGACGTTTTCCCCACTCCTTCTCCAGCTTCCTGAACTCATCCATATTGTCTCCTTTATTTACAGTTGCAAGTTGTGAGGTTACCATGTACCTCACTCCCCATGCTATGAATCCATGACTTAGACTTACCTTTAATTCTCTCATCTCCTCTTTCTACTCAGTCACTATGATTCTTTAGTCTACCCCATCTTTTTCCTTCTGATTTCTGTCCTTCCTCAGATTCTGCTGCCTTTTGTTGAGGAGTAGTTCTGCCTCTTGCCTTGCCTTCTTCAAGCCCATTATCCTCATGTGGCAATAGTGGTTCATCAGAAACACACATTGAACACACTCTTCTGAAGCCCTCTAACTTACCTCCTGGGAGTCTGCCATCTCTTCCAGAGTGATATGAATTCTCATTTTTTCTATTTACACATCTGAGGCCTATATCAGAGCCTTTGATCATAATGGCCTGCCTTTTATATTCTACGTGAAATGCTTTTCCCAGCTTTTTAAGTCTCAGTCTCTCTCTCTCTCTCTCTCTCTCTCTCTCTCTCTCTCTCTCTCTCTCTCTCTCTCTCTCTAATCTTTTAGTACTTAGATAAAATATTCTTCCATTATCTCTGTTTTTCCATTATCTATAAATTGTTGCTTAGTTATAAATCCCTCAAGAGAAAGGATCATATTTTGTTTGCAAATTCTTAGCATTTGTGACTTGTGGTAGCAAGGGCCGTTCTTCCCATCTCTCCCATGTACTACCCCCTCAAAACCATCCAAAGGTGTAGTGGTTTGAAAGAAAATGGCCTCCAAAGGGAGTGGTACTGTTAGGAGGTGTGGCCTTGTTGGAGCAGGTGTGGTCTTGTTGGGGGAAGTATGTCACGGTGGAGGTGGGCTTTGAGGGCTCATATATGCTCAAAATACTGCCCAGTGTCTCAGACCACTTCCTGTTGCCTGCAAGATGTAGAACTCTCAACTAGTTTTTCAGCATCATGTCTGCCTGCATGCTGCCATGTCCTGCCATGATCATAATGGACTAAACCAATGAAAATGTAAGCCACTCCAATTAAATGTTTTCCTTTATAAGAGTTGCCAAGGACATGGTGTTTCTTCACAGCAATAGAAACCCTAAGACAAAAGGACTTTAATTTGAAGGGTCTGTCTAGATCATGAACATGTATGTGCTATTTAACCATAATCATATTCTTTTGCTGAAGAAAATAGTGTTTATACCTTTTAATTGATTCATTTGTTTTCTCTAATCATGCTAAAATGAAGGGTTCTGAGATGTTAAAAACTGTGTGTTCTTAAATACTGGAATTGTGGAAAAGTTGTGCAACTTGAGAGTATTGGAAAACACATAGTTACCATAGGCCATATGCTTCTGACTTCATGGGGAATGAAACTATCTCACTAAATTTGACTCAAATAGTTGATTCATTTATTCTTTCAGTGATCAATATGAAATAGATGAAACTAAAATGTGGATAATTATGCTAATAATGCCCATTGTTGAGTTGCATACTTTTATGTATTCTGTTTTATTCCACAAAATAGCTAAGACAGAAGTTCATTTTGTATATTCTGATGACTTTGGAATATTTCTGTTTAAGGTAGAGATTTTCTAAATATTTTGGTGTGAATTGAAAATATTTTTGTGTCTTTTAATATATTTTAATTAATATTTAATTATATCACCTTCCACTAACTTTTCCTGCCTTCAACCCCTTATGTTTCCCCATCTCAAATTAATGGCCTACTTTTCTTTATTATTGGGGTGTGTGTGTGTGTGTGTGTGTACATACACATTTTTGTTGTTTGTTCATTATTGAAAACATATTTTTTTTTGTTTATTTTTTTGAGACAGGGTTTCTCTGTGTACCCTTGGCTGTAGACCAGGCTGGCCTCAAACTCACAGAGATCCACTTGCCTCTGCCTCCTGAGTGCTGGGATTAAAGGCGTGCGCCACCACCTATTTTTGAAATGTTCTTTATAACCATTCTTTAGTTCACAGTTTTTTGTTTCATTATGTTTTCTACTGTATAGTAGAACTCTAATATTCAAGAGGGAAGTTATTAGATACATGTGACTATAATGAGAAGTAGTTTTCATTCTATGTGGATCTTAAGCTTTTGTTTTATAGCTGTAATAATCATTTCCTCAAGGCTTCCATATCACAACCAATTTTGAAAGGATTGTATTTTCATTTAAAAATAATATTTTGCTACAGTAATTTAAGACTATTTTAAGTGTATAGCGCTCAATTTTCTTGTGTATGGGTGACTGGACTCAGTAGCTATGTGGCTATAAAAACTCTTAGTTCTAGAGTAGCCTAGCTGAGTTTCTAATTTAAGATCTCTTATAGGATTATAATCATGATGTCATCCTGGGCTGTGAGCTCTTGTCAGTGTTCAGCAAGGGTAAATATGGCTCCATGCCTACTCATGACTGTTGTCAGACCAGCTCATCCTGTTAGCCAGAGGCCTGTAGCATGAATCTTAACAAGTCTTATTAATAAAATCAAACCTGAGGCCAGTTATTGGAGTGAATGCTGGAGGATTAGAGAAACAGAACAGGCCACAGCTAACCTCACCTTGCCAACTTCTCAGCTGATCCTGTTTCCTCAGACTGGAAGCCTCTGAGTCCTCATCCAAATGGATCTCAGCTGAACTGCTGCTCAAAAGCCTAAAAGCTTAACCAGCTCTAGTTCCTGGTTTTCATGCTTTATATACCTTTCTGCTTTCTGCCATCACTTCCTGGGATTAAAGGCATGAGTCACCATGCCTGACTGTTTCCAGTGTGGCTTTAAACTTACAGAGATCTAGATGGATCTCTGCCTCCCAAGTGATAGGATTAAAAGCATGTATGCCACCATTTTCTGGCCTCTATATCTAGTGGCTGTTCTGTTCTCTGACCCCAGATAAGTTTATTAAGTTACACAATATTTTGGGGAACACAGTATCACCACAGAGGCCTCTTGAAAGGGCAATTGACAGTGTTACAGCTGACTTCCATGAGAATCGCAGGAGACTAGAAATATAGAATTGTAGTCTTTTTATAACCTAATCATGGAAATGACAGCCCAGCACTTTTCTCCTCCTCTCTTTGTTAAAGCAAGCTACTGAGGTCTGGCCTGCACATGATGGAAGACCATACAAAGGGCATGAATGCTGGGAGGAAGGAATAGTGGGAGCCATGTTAGAGCTGTATGCTTTTGGCTACTGTTCGCATGCGATGGTGAGACTATATTTACTGGGTTTGAAAATTGGAAGAGAGTATATAGAGCAAACCAATGAAGTAATATTTACCTAACATGTTTAACAAGATATCCAAAGCCTTGTAATATCCTAAGACATAAAAATAATTTTATGGGCTTCTCCATTTAAACCATGTTCTTATCCCTACATAATGTACCCCTTGTTCTTGGACTCACATGAAGTGTGGTGGAATGTTAGACCTTTACAACTATTTTTGCCATCACGCATGTCTGAGTATTGGGCAAATGAATCGTGTCTTTCTTTTTACTTTTTCCAGAAGTTGGCATACTATTATTTACAAAATATATGAAATAATTTTGAATTAAAATTGAATTGACTAATTTTGAATTCAAGTTATTCCTTGTTTTCTGTAGTTTTAGATGATATTAGAAGAGATGATGTTATTGTATACATTTTGGGGCAAGAAGCTCTGAATTTCTGACTCTAGGAGTACTTGTACCCACAGACACACATATGAATAACAGTCCTGTTTTTAAACTAAGGGGGCTGAGAAGAACAGATGCAACACCCTATTGTAATTCTGGAAATAGATTCTTATTGCATGGTGGAAAGCTTTTAAGCTTTTTTCTTTGTTAGTTATACATGTGTGTATTCATTATTGTTATCCTAAACCACTTTAACACTTGGCTCAGAAACTACTTTAATCCAACAGATGTGGCAACTGGCCTGGAAAAAAAAAGACATTTCCGTGAAACATTTGTGTTCCTTGGCTAAAACTTGGTTTTGTGTGGTCTAATTAATGACCTGATGCTGATGTTTTAGGTTGAAAATGCTTGGGAGTACGTTTGTCAGGGTGTCATTTCCTTTCCTCTGTGTATAAGTATGGTTGTTTTGTAACTATTCTATAAACCTTCGGTGTGGGGAGAGGTGGAGGTTATAGGCCCACAGACATTTGTTTCAGAACTGCAGAGAAACCTGTGACTGGATCTCTGATAGTGACAGAAATGACCGCAACAGTAGTGGTAGTACTAAATGACATTGTGGATATGTAGCCTGTGCATTAGGATTCTTACTAACAGTTCCTTCCACATCATCCCTAGTAATTTCAAACTCTGATTTTTTCTCTTTTGCAGGAAATATCATATTACAAAGCAAGATGGGTAACATTACAGTGGGTATGTGTCAAGATGCTGGTTGGTAATGGCTTACAACATCTATAGTTGTGATGCTTTATTAAAATCTATAGTTTGTCTCTCAAACCTCACTTAGGTCATGTGTAGACAGGCCAGTATGAATGTGTCTGCTCAGAGAAAATGCCCTGGATCTAGTATTACGAAAGAAAATCATATAAATTTTCTCAAGTTCTTTAAATAGCTACGTTAACTCTTTGAAAGAAAGGATTACTGTGTGTGTGTGTGTGTGTGTGTGTGTGTGTGTGTGTGTGTGTGTGTGTGAGAATTGTTTCCAACACTGTTATTATTTGAAGTCAACTGTTAGTACGCCAATACCTTTTCCATTTGTGTTTATGAGTGTCTGCTATACGTCAGGAATTCTTTTACTATTAAAGAGAATATATTAGTCAACAAGGCTACTCATTTTGTCTAGGAGCTGTCCCCTCTGAGTACCAGGAAGAAAAAGAACAGACATGTAAATAACAAAAGGTGGTTTCAGATCACCATAAGTGCAATGAGGAAATAGGATGATAGCATAGAGATCGCTTATGGAAAAGAGAGTGATTGAAGTTAGGCCATCAGGGAAGAAGAGGGACATTTTAATTGAGGTTACCATAATAACAACTAAAAGGCTTATAAAATCATGCGTACAGAGCTCCCACACAGAGGAATGGCAAGAACAAGCCTTAGAAAGGGAAACGGTTTACTATTCTTGAGGATATAGTGGGAGTGATGAGAGATGAGGTGGAACTAGTTCTTAGAACCTTGTGTGTGTCGCTTACATCACAAGAAGGTTCAGATGGTGGATAGCATATGTTCAAGTTCAAGACAAGACCATCCCACAGTTAAAATGAGTGAGCAGGAGAAAGCAGGGCCAGCGTGCTGGTGGTGGGATGCCAGTGGTGGCAGATTGCTTGTCCACCTCTGCTTTGTCTCCTCCCTGTTACCTCTTCAAGGCGTTACCAAAACTGTGTTTCATCTTTTAAAAATTGAACGGGGTTTGCCTCCCACATCTCGTAGAGACCTGTTTACCCCTTTCTTACTTATGGAGTATCTAGAGGGGACCTTGTTGTTCAAATCTTAGCTGGTCTTTTAATAAAAAACCCGGAGCCAGGTATCAGGGTTAAACTGAACGATCAGAGAAGCAGAGCAAGCCACAGCCAACCTCACCTCACCAACTCCTCAGCTGATCCTGTTTCCTCAGACTGAAAGCCTCTTGAGTCCTCACCTGAAAGGGTCTCAGCTGAACTGCTGCTCAGTTCCTGTTTCCTCAGGCCTATATACCTTTCTCCGCCCAGCCATGTCACTTCTGGGATTAAAGGTGTGTGTGCTTCCCAATACTGGGATTAAAGGCATGTGCCACCACTGCCTGGCTCTGTTTTCCAGCATGGCCTTGAACTCACAGAGATCTAGATGGATCCCTGCTTCCCAAGTGATAGGACTAAGTGTATGTGCCACCAGAGTCTGGACTCTATGTCTAATCCAGTGGCTGGCTCTGTCCTCTGATCCCCAGGCAAGTTTATTAGGGTACACAATATTTCACCACAGGACCTCATAGAAAACTTGAAGTTGCCTTAAAATTCTACCTTTTCAAACTCTTATGTCCTGTGTATAAAACCTGCCTGCTCTTGTACTTTATATAGCTTTAAGAGCATATGAATCAGTCAGAAAACAACTTACTCCTCCTTTATAACTTAAAAGTTGAAATTTAAAAATATTAAAAACTTGCTTTGAACATGCTTATCCAATTTTGAGGAAGTTTTCCATTTATCTAAAAGAAAACAACACATTTAAAATGTTAGTTTTTCAAGCTTAGTTGTTTCCTCCTGTCAACAAAACATGTTACAAATACATGTGTCTTTGCTTGAGTATGGTGTTAAACTGCTAGTTGACATCAGTATTTCTCTTTTGAGTAATTAAAAATAAGACAACTCTATGGTCTCTGTCAGACAACCGGATCTTGGTCCAGAATTCTAACAACAGATAATTCTATGTGAGAGTCTACGTATCTGCCTGTCTGCTGTATATTTTCTGTTCTCTTGCCTACTCCCTTAAGACATCTCCAAGAGCTATAGAACTTCTTCACATAACCTTTAAAGTATGGAATTCTTGTGCATAAAGCCTTCATTTTACTTTTGGTGCTTAATTTTCATTTCAGTAATTTGTATTATAGAAAGTTTGTTTTGCTGCATAACTTTTTAAAATGCAAACTGTCAGGTTTTTTTGAGTTTCATACATGAGTACTTGTATTTACATCATTCCTACCCCATTCTCTTACCCTAACAACTCCTCCAGTGCCCCCCTCAAATTCACAACTTCCTCCTCTTTATTTTACACACCACCACACACATGTATATGTATGTATAAATACAGCCTGCTGAGTGCACTTGGGGTTATGTGTGTGTGTGTTTAGGTTTGACTGGGATCAGACAGCTGACTATGGACTCATTCCTGCAGAAGATTTACTGCCCTGTCAGCAGCAATTTATTGCCTACATGTAGGGGTGGGACCCTGTGAGATTTGCCCACCCACATTGGAACATCAGCTGGTGTTGTTATTGTGCAGGTCTTACATAAGCAAACTTAGGTTTGAGATTTCATGTTTGCTACATAGGTTTTAAATATCACATGTCTTCTTTCTCTTTATAAAACTCATCTTGAGTCTTTTGACAGCTTTAGAAATGAGACATTAACAAAGCTCAAGACTGATAACGTTCAAACTTTGTAACTTCTGATTATTTCCCCATGGTGAAGGGGATGAAAGCATTGTTTGTAGATCACCTAATATTCTTGTAGAGTCCCTCTTCCCCAGAGAAAGAAAGTCAAACTAGTTTTCAAACACTTTGTTCCAGCCGGGATGATACATGTACACGTTAGGTAGCCTACATGTTTGTTGTTACCATAATACATTTTTACATGGCTTCTTTTAGGGTTAATAAGAGGTTTTTAGTGAAGTTTCTCTTGGTACTCACCTAGCAATGATGTAGCCAGTCTCTGTCTCTTATCATTTACCTAATGTCTTCATTTACTTACATTGGTATTTACTTTGACACTTGAAAACTAATAATTGGAGTCTGATAAAGGACATTTTGGTATTGATTGGAGACAAATTATTCTAAATAATCTTTGTGCCAGATCTTGAATAATTCACTTCAAAGTCTGATTGAAGTTATTTAAAATTTTAAGGAAAAAATTTTGCCTTTGTTGATAATATATTTTCTCTCCATATTTTATAAAATATTATTTCTCACATAATTTTCACCACAATTCCTAGTTTGCTTCTCAATTAAAGTAGTAAATGCTCTTGATAAAATATGCTTTTAAGAGAGGCTCCTGAAAAGAATGTGCTCTGGCCTTCTCAGTACAGTCAGGCTGAATATTACCTTAAAGTTTTGGTGGCGATGGCGGTAGGGAAGACGACCCTTCGCACTGATACTTCAAGTCATTGTCCAGTTTCCTTGTCTCTGACTTTGTTTCCCCTTGACCTAAAACTGTTGTTTTACTGAAAACAGGAGTCATTGACAACATCTGGAAGTTTGAGTCCGTGTAAGGACTAACTTAGTTATGACTTCCATATCCTGACTTGAAGATACTGATTCAAATCAGGAACTTGTAAAGAAATATTAGATGAAAACAGAAAACAGCCTTCCTTCCCTCTTCCTGTGATGGCTCCACACCCTTGCTGCCCTCCAAGAAGTGCAGTAAAACCTCATGCAGACAACTTGTTACTCTTACTACAGCAGGTTTGCGGAAATAAAAGAATGTGAAATGTCTTGATTTCTCACTAACTTTGCTCCTGTTTATAGAGACTGAACACAGGATAAATGTCTTTTTGGCTAATCCTGGAAGTTTTATTAAATTTGCCAATTTGAGAATAAACGAAATACTTAAGTGATGCTTTCTGGTCTTGGCATTGGCTGCCAGTTGTTACATGTCGTCCTTCCTACAATCAGGTTTTAAGAGATGAGCTCTGGGTCAGGAGAGATGGCTCAGTGGTTAAGAGCATTGGCTGCTCTTCCAGGACCTGGGTTTGATTCCTAGCACCCATGTGGTGGCTTACAACTGTCTGTAACTCCAATTCAGGGGACCCAATACCCTCTTCTGGCTTCTGTGGGTACCCAGCATGCAAATACTTGTTTATATTTTGATAAAAATAATGATATAGTTCTGAGGAAAATACAGAACTTCACAAGATTTATAGATTCTTACCCATATGTCAAAGCAGGGCCTTTTATTTCAAGTTTATAATTCCATTTATTCCATTAAGAATAATCATGGGTACAATTTTCTATCTCCCAGATTCGTCCTCTGGATGTCTAAAAGCCTCAAGCCATCAGGGTGCCATAGATGTTTATGTCAGCCAACTCGGGGAAGTGGCACTGACATCACAGGAAGGTGAGCCACTGTCACCACGTGATGTGTCCTGGGAGGAGAGAATGACGACGGACTGTTTGGGGAACAGGTGGTCGGATTATCTGCAGTGGCTTCAAGAAATTTTCTTCTATTAGATCCTAATGTAAACACTGGTTATTGAGCTCTCTAAGCCAATCAGAAATCTTTATGTTTAGAACAGCTAGCCATGAAGACAAACTTTCTTTTTGTAGGACAAAGAATTGTGGTGTTATATTTTGACTGATAGTGTAGAATTTCTAATGTTCTTTGTGGATTTTTCAGTTTTGTCATGTAGGAAATAGAATATTCTTTGTAGGGGAAAGAATCTCTAAATTAAGGCTTTCTTGCCAGCCTGTGGAGACCCTCCTGCTGTCACTGCAGAACAGTAGTCTTCAAGTGTGGTCCTCAAGTGTTCCCATAAAGGTCCGCAAAGCAGACTTCTGATGTACTTGTCTATATAATTCCCCATCAGGTAACTTAGTTTGAGTTCACATATTTTATTTAAGAATGTACACTTGTTATTCACTGGAAAGCTGAATAGAGTTGTATGCATCTAAATAGTCATCTTAAATATACTTTTTATTCCTCTAAAAACTAATTCTCTCTGTAGGCATACACATGTGCATGGTAACAAGTGACAGCATAGCTTAGCAATGTGGACTGAAGTACTGAACATTAGGAACTATACTTCTGTATAAAAGACTTAGAAAGATTGAAAACAACAATAGAGAACCTTTTGCATATTGGCTAGGATGGGACTGTGTATTACAAGGATGATATTTCCTCTCAGAAATTAGTTCCTGCTATTGTTCATTTCTATGTCACGTAACAGGCCTCTGTCCAATCAGGGTTCTTTACCAGCATCAGTGGAGAGCTGCTGAGCACAGGGTAGAACTGAAACCGCTGCTGACACAGGCAGAATTTCTCAGGAGTCTGGCTCGTTGTCTTTCAAATAGGATATGATCTTTGTCTTAATCAGGGTTTCTACTGCTGCAACCAAACACCATGACCAAAAACCAAGTTGGGGAGGAAAGGGTTTATTAGGCTTACACTTCCACATTGCTGTTCATTACTGAAGGAAGTCAGAACAGGAACTCACATAGGGCAGGATCCTGAAGACAGGAGCTGATGCAGAGGCCATGGAGAGGAGCTGCTTTATTGGCTTGATTCCCATGGCTTGCTCAGCCCACCTTCTTATAGAACCCAGGACCACCAGCCAGGGATGGCCTCACCCACCATGGGCTGGGCCCTTCTCCACTGATCACTAAATGAGAAAATGCTGGATCCTATGGATCCATTTTCTCAACTGAAGCTCCTCTCTCTAGTAACTCTAACTGGTGTCAAGTTGACATACAAAACCAGCCCATACAATCTTGTCCTCAAAAAATTGCTAACTTTGTCTCAGTTACTTTTCTGTTGCTGTGGTAAAATACTATGACGAAGGCAACTGATTAAAGCAGCCATTTATTTGGGGCTCACAGTTGGACAGGGCTAGAGTCCATGATCATCACGGTGGGGAGCATGGCAACAGGTGGGAGACCTGGCCCTGCAGCAGCTGGGGCTTCACATCTTGATCACGAGCAGAGAGGGGCTACCTGGGAAAGGTGTGGGCTTCTGAAGCCTCACAGCCTGCCTGCAGTGACACACCTCCTCAACAAGGCACACCTCCTTATCCTTCCCACAGTTCCACCAGCTGGGGACCAGGTACTCAAACTTAGGGCCCCATATACAGGGCATTCTCAGTTAAAGTCTTAGCCATATAATTTTACTCTCTTATGAAGACCCAAGAGGGAAACTGTTAACCGTGAATGTAACTAGTAGCAGAATAAAAAAAAAAAAGTTTTGAATAAACAGCTCTTCTGTGAAAGATTTTTCTTGCATTGTGCAGTAGATAAAAAATCAAAACAAACTGCTTTTTTTAAACTTTGAAGTTTATCACTCTTCACTCAAAATATTTTTTTAGTATTAATTATAGCATTGTTCCAACAACATATTGAAAGGGCATTTCCATATGAAATATTGAAATGAGATATTGCAACACTTGATTAGGATTGTAATTTTGTGTTTTCCTGCTGTAACCATGTTCCTGGCAGCTTGGAGATAACTAGAAACAGCAACCCTATCTCATCTTCAGGGTTCATTTGCTCAGTGTTGGTTAAGGACCTTGGCGATCTGTTCCAGCTTTGCTGTCTACTGTCTTGCTGTGGCTTCAGGGCCAGCTACTTGAGTGTCTGAGGTCTGCACCATTTGCCATGGGGTCTGAGGACACATGTTAGAATGCTTATTTATTGTCCTTGTGAGAGTGAACATGATAGATGACCTTATTTATCCCTTCAGAAAGTCTGTGTTTGAGCTTGGGAGTCAGCTTTGCCTGTGAGTGCTGAGATTTCCACTGAACATGTCCTAAAGAAGATGAATAATCCTCACATAGTATGCTTTCAGTTTGTGGCATTATTAGAATTAATTCACTTCTGAATTTTTTGAGAGGATAGTGTCGGCTGGTGATGATACAGAGGTTTATCTACCTGGCTCTCTTCTTTGTATGAATGAGAGTTCGTAAATCTTGTGTGTGTGTGGTGTGTGTGTACACGTGTGTGAATGGAGGCCAGAGGAGGATGTTGGTTATTTGCCCTGTTGCTCTCCACCCTTTGAGACATGGTCTTTCACTGAACCTAAAGCTAAGCTAGCAGCCAGTGAGATTTCTCAGCAGTCCTGCCTCCCACCCTTTCCCCCAACAGTGGGTTACAGCACACATGGGCATGCCCAGCTTAATAAATGAGTTCTGGGATTTGAACTCAAGTCCTCATGCTGTTCAGAAAGGAGTCTTACCCACTGAGCCATCTCTTCAGCCCCAGGAAATCCATCTTAACCCAAACTTCCTGCTGCCATAAGTGCAAAGCTGGTATCCGTTCAGCAGACTGGAAGGAAACTGTGAGCCTGATGTAAGTGGGTTCTAGAAGGAAGTCGCAGAGTGTCTGCCATCCTGTCTTTGTCCCAGAGGTGAACTGATACTGTATGGCAGAAGGCTCTAGATTTGATGAGAACAGAAGGAAGCTGGTGAAATAGGAGTGTGCTGGTGAACTTGCACTGAGATTGTTTTGACAGGGATTTCACAACTGATGGAGTACTTTTTCTGACTTATTCCTTTAGAATCTTAAAATCTTCCTTTAGGACAGCGAGCAGACTACACTAAAATGAAGCTGAGTGTGTTTGGCCATCAGTACTTAAACATCTGACTCTAAAGGAACATTAGTCACTGGAATCCAAACCTTGTTTTTTCTCCTTACACTCCAGGCACAACTGAGCATACAAGACCTTGTGGTTGATACAACATAGTGCCCAGTGAGGACATGGTCCTGCTGGACAAGGAGGTCGCGGTGTGTGAAACACCAGTGACTGGAAGCACAGGCCTCACATTGCACTAAACCCACATTCTGACAGTAGCTGTAGTGGGAACCTGAACAAACCCTCCACTCTAAAGTTGGAGTGATAATGGTACTTCCTGAAGTTGAGATGGTGGTGATTGGCTGGCTCTTGGCAAATGCTCACTGACAGCATATCCTATTTGTACCACGTGTGTGGTAAATTACTACTCCTTTTTGGTATGGATGAGTGGGTAGGGATGTTAGCAAAAGAAGAGCCAGTAGTTCATAATGTTCTGGTGCCCAAACTCTTGACGGAGTTATGGTGATGTTTTCAGAGGATACTTTGACTGCCTGGGAGAAAGAAAATCCACTGTTGTTTAAATCAATATGCCGAGGAGGGGAAACAGGAGAGCAGGAGCAATATTTTCAATTAAATTTATAATTTGATTTATTTGTATTGTTTTACTCTAAATTTACCACAGGCTCTATTACTGTCAAGGCCCCATCTTCTCTACGAGCTTATTTACAGTTGTCAGGGAGAGAGGTGATTGTGGACGAAGAAGCTCATGTTGAGGAAGTGGCCAAAGATCAGAAAGGTGGCGGTGTGACGGTCACAGGTAAGGAGACTTGTGGTCGTGGATGGGTGGTCCTGGTAAGTGGCAGTGTTAACTGCAGTTTCGTCCTTGTCTGTTCTCGCTCTGCGGTGTTTGACATTGTTCTCCCGGTGGTTGTCAATAACATACTGCAAACACTGTGTTAAAAGACCTCCTTCAATCATTTAGGGTCACTCAGTACTTCTGTCCTTATATAAAATGCACTTAAGTCCTTTTCCTGGGGGAAAAGTCTAATTCTTGAACTTGAAAATTAGCATGTATTATTACACAAGCCTTAAATTAACTGCATGATTAGACAGGAATCTTGTTTGCTATGCACACTGTAAATTTGCTCTTTTGGTATGGCAAATTCTCAGTTCCACAACTTAAATAATTCTTGTACATTTTTCATTACATCTAGCTGCACTAATGGCTATACTATCTTTAAGTATTAATTTTAATGGCTACTGAAATTAATGCTGACATTTCCCTTTAAATTGTAACACAATGTCATCAGGGAGGACCTTGAAATAAACTGCATGTGTACATATGCTACAGACTTACCCATGAGATAATGGCTAAAGAAAGAATATGAGAGAATGTTCTTCATAAAGTCAAATTTCAGTTTTAAAAGTTCTTTTTCTAGGTCATGAGAACTAAGAGTGCAATCTGCTTAAAAAAGAAAAAAAGGATATCGACTAATAAAAACATTACCAGGTCTGACTCAGTGCCTAGTAGGCAGAATCATAATTACAAGATAAAAATGTGATTAATGTCAGAGTATGTTAATTGTGCTAAGAATCAACTTGAGACTTGGGGTAGTTTGTGTCTTTTAGGTAAGGTCTCCCTGAGTAGTCCAGGCTGGCCAGAATTTATATCCTGCTTTAGCCCACCAAATACTGCCACCTTGTGTAGCCTAACTTCTTGAGTTCATAAAGAGCCAAGAGTCATCTAGTGCTACCTCAAACTTTATATAGATACAGTTATCTTTCTCTAGCCTAGCTCTTTGGACAGTCACTCAACAAACATTTCTGGAGTCAGACACTGCTAGAAGCTAGGAATGCAGAAGCCATACACAGCCGACCTGCCTCCTGAGGAACTTGTAGTAGGAAAGACACCAGTGCCAGCCAGGTGTATGTTAGAGAGCTGTGTGGTGTGGGTGCTGTGTACTATGCGGGTACTGCATCTAAAGCAGATGGCATGAGTCGGAGAAAACAGAGTCAAATATGGCTAGAATATAAGAGGACAGAGGGGAAAGTAGATTAAAAGGTGGCTGAAAATTTGAGTGAAGTCAGCTGATTTGGATTTTATATTGAGGGTATTGAAAAGCTTTACCATGGGATTCACATAATCAGGTTTGTAGACGAGAATGATCAGTTCCTTGTGGGGAAAGGTTAGAGAGAACAATGGTGGGTGAAAGCGGAGCTCGGAGCTCGTCAGAGGTTACAGTGGATTCGGTGGGTCGCCTGGCCTCCACAGTAGCTGCCTCGTGTTACAATAGGTCTTTCACAATTTGGTGGAAGGAAGAGGCCAGTGAATGCTATGAGGACATAGAATATCAATTGATTTTGAAAGTTTATTCGTCCCTTTGTCTTTTTCATGTGTGTGTAGCTCCTGAACTCTAGCTCTGCTTCCTGACCAGAAGAGGTTCTTTGCTCACTGCCACAGTCAGGGCCAGCAGGGTCGTCCTGCCGTGCTGCAGGGGAATCCTACAAGGCTGGCCCCTGGTTAATCTGGCGCTGCCTCTGCCAAGTGCGTTAGAGTGACAGGACAGAGGGCCTCCAGTGAAGCAGGAGCAGTCTCTCTCAGAGCTGAGTGAACAAAACCTCTCAGACTATACTTATACTCATGCTTTGATTCTTAAACTGATACGTTCCCAAGGCCAGAGGCTTTGTTTATGACGTGCAGAAAATAAAGAGCCTGACTCAAGACATCAAATCACATTATTCTTTTCCACACAGATGTCTAGTTGGAAACCTAATTTTGGAAATAATAAGTAGCTTTACATGTAGCTTATGTTATAAACAGCTGAACTCAGCTCATCTGGGCCTTCTGCATGTCCTATGAGGCAGAGAAACAGAAAGACTACCCTTATTTCTAAGAGTTCTGGAATGTATTTGCAGCCTTACTTCTGGATAATTTCTGTAAGAAGCCTTTCCAGTCAGATTAGCCCCTCAGGCTCAGACTTTGCTCAGGGTTTTTATGTGTCACCTGTAATTTGGAGTTCCTATTGTATGGTTTCCCTCACTCTAGCTGTCACTGAAAAATTACTCTAGGTTGTATAACTGCCATAGTGATTTCTAAGTATCACATGCCTTTCTGAGGTCAAAAGGAAGCCCAGGCGCTCAGGCTGAAGTGCTGCCGACTCGGTGGTATGGTGAGCATTCTTAGGAGTGCATACTCTGATCTTCATGAGAATTTTGATTCTGCTTTGTGAGCTGTCCATATATGGCATGTTGAATGAGTTGTAAATGGCTTTGGTGATGTCTTTTAAATAAGTTGATTTCTCTATTGAGTGTTAGAATTCAGTTTCATCAATTTAGACATGAAACTTGATTGTGGTATATATACCCTCCAAGCCCTGAGATGCCTGTGGTACAATAAAGAATGTTAAAGGAAAAGTGTATTCTGGATTAAAAACTGACGTTTGTCCTGCTTGTCTCATAGGGAAGCCAGCACTACTGCTCAATTATACCTCAGTCAGACTACAGGATAAAACAGAAAAGCCACCCACTTAGAGCCCTCGGAGTATTACCATCTAGAAGGGAAAACTGGGGCTAGAGAAGAGGCTCAGCCAATAAAAGGCTTGCCTTGTAATCATGAGTACTTAAGTTTGATTTTAGATTCCACACCCACATATTTAAATCAAACCAAAAACATGGTAGGTAGCAATCTGCTTATAATTGTAGCCCTGGGGAGGTAGTGACAGGCCGGTTCCTGTGCTCTCTGGCCAGCCAGTCCAGCCGACTCAGTGAGTTCCAGGCCATTTGAGAAAACCCGTTTGAAAATACGAGGTGGATAGGACCCAAGGAACAATTCAGAGGTTGTCCTCTAGCCTCCACACACTAGAGAATCAGGCCAGAGGTTAGAAAGAAGTTGAAATGTGATGTTAAGTCCTTAGGTTATATTTTGTAAAATCTAAGGATAGATTCTATTGCTCCAAACGTAGTCTTTTGACATGACTTTTAGAAATAACTACAGCTTTTAGAATACACAGAAGTAATTTGTTAGTGACATATGTATATTTAGATTATATGGGGGAAATTCAGTAACTGAAAACAATATTATCAGGTTTATGTATGTAAGGCTTTTTTTTTTTTTAATATTTGCTGGTGTTTTGCCTGTATGTTATGTCTATATGAGGGGTACTAGGATTATAGGCAGGTATGAGCTGCCATATGGGTGCTGGGAATTGAACCTGGTTCTTCTGGAAGAGCAGCCAGTTCTCTTAATTGCTGAGCCACCTCTCCAGCTTGTATGGTTTTTAAAGCATTTACTTAAATATGCTGATGGAAAGTTAATGTAGGAACTGTTTTCATATCACTTGTAGTCTTGTTTTATTTCCTTAGCAAAGTGTGAGATTTTGGAAGTGCCAGGGTAATGGGACAGTGCCTTTGTTGATGTCTACCAAAAGGATCAGGTTTTGCTTCTGTTCATTGTAAGCTTTGTCTGTAAAGGCTGATAGTATTTATATAACATTTTTGAAAAGACAAATCTCCCAGGCAGGATGCAGTTACAGGGGTTATCCCTCTTACCTAAAACAATGACCGAGGAATAGTAAAATACGTTTTTCATTGGTTTTCAAGACACTGACATCAGGCACTTAAGAAGTGGTCACTGAGTGGTAGAAACAAAGGAGAAGAGTGCTGATTATGGCTTTGATGAGTCATCAGGCTGCCACTGGGAGAGGGAGCTGCTGTGGACTCTGGCCGACTCTGAGCTGAGTTGGCAGCCATGGTCTTTTAGAACTTGGAGTACGTTCTTCTAAAGTTTCCATTGAGAAGCCAGCCTCTGGTAGGTTTCCCTTTGTGTAGGACTTGTGTTCTTTCTTTGGCAGCTTCCAGTACTGGGTGTTTTCACTATGCTGTGCTGTGAGGAGTTTCTTTTCTGGTCTTGTCTGTTTGGTGTGCTGTGTGCTGCTTGGTCTGTGTGGGTCTGTCTTCCCTTAATTTGGGAAATTTTTCTTCTATGATCTTATTGAAGAGGTGGTCAGTGACATTCCTGAGGAGTCTTTGCTTTCATCTATGCCTATAATTCAAAGACATGGTCTCTTCTGATGTTCCCTAGTCCCTGCATGTTCCTTTTGTGCATTTTAATTTTTTTCATATGCTTGCTTGTATGGTCTAATTCCTCTACTTTGTCTTCAGGTCTTGATAGTCTTTGTTCTCACTTGGTCCATTCTAATTGTAAGGCTTTTTCCCGAGTTTTCCAGTTCCATTTTGGCGTGCATTTTCTTTGGTATTTCTTTTCTGGGTCAGTTTTCAAATCTTACATTTCCTTCCTTATTTCATTCAGTATGTTTGTGTTTTCTTAGGCATCACTCTGGCATTTATTGCTATTCTCTTTAAGTCCATTAAAGTTTTTTTGTGGGGAGGGAGTCTTCTTTAAACTTGAGTTCTTTCAAGTTTATGATTGTTCTTTTTAAGTTGTGTTCTTCTAGCTAATTTTCACTGGAGAAAAACCTCTATATGAGTGATGGATTTAGGGAGATACACTGTCTTGTCCTGTCATGTTATGTGTGTTTTTTGTTTGTTTTACTTTTTTCCTTCACAGAATATATTCTCATTACAGTTTCACTTCTCTCTACTCCACCCAGTTCCTTCCCAGCTCTCCTCCCATCCAGATCCACTCCCTGTCTCTCAGAAAACAAAGAGACTTCTAAGGGATAATAATAAAATATAATATGAAAAGATAAAAACTATATCAGAATTGGATAAAACAAACAGAATGAAAAGAGCCCAAGAAAAGCCAAAAGAATCAAGAGACCCACTCATTCGCACATTTAGGAATTCCATAAAAACACT